TATATATATATATACTGTCTCACACATTCAGTCATTCACGAAATAAGGTTTGAACACCAGCTAAATGCACTTCCTTCACCTTCTAACAGCTTGTTTGAATATTATTTATTTTTCATTTAAGCTAATATTCCAAAGGGTATTGTTTGTTACCAAACCAGGAAATAAAATCCAAAACAACAACATTGCTTTTCATCTCCTGTGAAGTCTCTATTCAGCTGCAGACAATCAGAATGAATTATTTTTATTTTCATATTTCATTTGCTTAATTAAGACTGCTAACAGGGATGAGTCAGAACCAAAAACATAGCTATGAAGACCACATCTTGCTACAGAACTCAGTGTTATTGGACTCTGAACATTGTAACTACCATACTGAGTCAGTATCCTTTCTCCAGCAGTGGTGAAAAGCAGATCCCTCAAAGTAAGGGTTATGAACCGCACAGTAAGGTTGGGTTTAGTGTGCAGGGTCTGGGTGGTGCTGGTAGTCTGCGACACACAGATCAGTCTAGATGAGCTGGTTGTTCCTTTTGGCTCTATGACTCTGCTCTATGACCTCATGAGTAGGCAAATTTGGAATAATCTGAACCCAGCATTATTTTATCCAGGTTCTTCAGAGTTAGGGTATGTCTACACTACCCCGCTAGTTCAAACTAGCGGGGTAATGTAGGCATACCGCACTTGCAAATGAAGCCCGGGATTTGAATTTCCCGGGCTTCATTTGCATTAACTGGGCGCCGCCATTTTAAAATCCCTGCTCGTTCGAACCCCGTGCCGCGCGGCTACACGCGGCATGAACTAGGTAGTTCAGACTAGACTTCCTAGTCCGAACTCCATGAGGAGTAATGGTAGTTCGGACTAGGAAGCCTAGTTCGAACTACCTAGTTCATGCCGCGTGTAATATCACTTGACAGTACAGTCCCTCTAATATTCCCTTCAGCAAAATTATATTTGTATGAAATACAAAATATTTACAGTCAAGATTTTTCCATAGCTCAGTCCCACCACTACACTATGAAACTGTAATTATATCAATTAAACATATGGATAGACTAAGGCATAGACCAGTAACTCCACATTTCAGATTCTCTCCCTGCCCATATACTTGGTGTCAAGCCCAACTTTTGGACTCAGTGCTTCACAGAGCATTCTCCCTTTGAACATTTTGCAGCTCAAAAAATCACTCTCTCTCTAACCATAAATAGAGCCAGACTAAGTCAATCGTGGGGTCATGGGCACATCATAAGACAAAGACTCATGTGTTCCATCCTTATTTCGAATGGCAGTCATGTGGGTAGTGGTGAGAGGAGGGAGGGAGAGGAGGGCTCTCCTTTTTCCTTCTTAGGGAAACAAAGTAGCAACAAGACCATCTCCAGCAATTGCATAAGGGTATGTCTAGACTACATGGCTCCATCAATGGAGCCATATAGATGAGGTTGCTAGACATAGGGAAATGAAGCGGTGATTTAAATAATCGCTGCTTCATTTACTTCATAATGGCTGCCGCGCTGTGCCGATCAGCTGTTTGGTGGCACAGCATGGTAGTCTGGATGCTCCATGGTCAACAAGGGAAGCCCTTGTCGACCGCACCATTATGCCTCATGGAATGAGGTTTACTGGGGCGGTCGACAAGGGCTTCCTTTGTCAACCGTGGAGCATCTAGACTACTGCGCTGTGCCGTCAAACAGCTGAGCCGCACAGCGAGGCAGCCATTTTGATGTAAATGAAGCGGCGATTATTTAAATCATCGCTTCATTTCCCTATGTCTAGAAACCTCATCTACATGGCTCCGTCGATCGAGCCACGTAGTCTAGAAATACCCTAAGTGAACAAGACCCATTGCCCCATTGCACACTTTTTCCACCACACATGTAGCCCCCTGCTGAGTTGCTGTAGATCTTGGATTTAACATCCATTGAGATGAATGGGGTGAGTCATGAGGTTACCAGGTATTTGGTTTTAAACTGGAACACTTGGTTGAAAAGGGATTGTGGTGGCTCTGGTCAATATGGCTCATTGGGTAATTAAAAGTCTCGTCTGCAGTGCAACAGGACTAAGGCAGGCTCCTGACTACCATGGATCTGTGCATGTCCCTGTATCCCCTAAGCAGACAAAGAATCAGGGAAGCACTACATGCTGCTCTACTCCCAGCACTGGCATCACAGCCCCCATTGACTGAGAGCCACAGCCAATGGGAGCTGTGGAAGTGGTGCCTGTGGGCACAGGCAGTGTGCAAAGCCCCTTGACACCTCAGGAACTAGACAGTCCAGTTGCTTTTGGGCGTCATGCAGAGCTAGAATAGATGTCACATGTTAAATTCTCAATACTGTCTGTAGAAGGGCGGCTAAAAGCATTACCATTATGAAAGGAGATTAATAAGGGACAAAAGCCTTAGTGATGACAAGTGAATGACAGCTAGCCAAGACCTGAGTGCTATGCAGATGTTACTCATTTTGTGGAAATGCATTCAATTTTATGCTTAGTGTCAGACAGATGTTTAAGCTAAGGATGGTTTTTACACAACGGTTCTATTATTAGTCATGATTTCAAAAACTGTTTTTTTTATATAAAACTAGTCAATGAAGGGGAAAAAGAGCATCTGTTCCTGTGTTCCTCTCTAAACTCTGCTCAAAAAGTGACTGGAAATAAATGCAATATGGTTCCATCATTTTAGGGAAGCCTGTTTGATGTGGAACTTTCTATTTATGCAGTTACGGATTTGATAGAAAGTCAACATAAAGCACATTGGTAGTTATCTTGTGGGAAAGCAACTCTTCAGTTTAATTAAGGAAAATCCTTTTATGTTAGGGCAAAAGAGATTGAATTTTGGAAAAGTTGTTATATATTTTGTTTTGTTGTTAACTCTAGGAATTATCTGTTCATCATCTATGTCTACACTGCATACTTATTTCAGAATAAGCTATTCTGGAAGAAATAATCCAAAATAGTTTATTTCAAAATAGCGCATCTACACCACAGGGAAACCTTGAAATTAGTCAAAGGCAGGCTCTCCTAATGAGGATGTGCTACCTCATTGTAGAGCCCCAGAAAGCCCTAGGGAGTAATTATTGTGAAAGGCCCTGTAGAGGAGCTATTTCAAAATAGCAATAGTGGAGTGTCCACATTAGAGCTATTTTGAAATAACTATTTTGGAATAGACATCATTCCTCATGTAATGAGGTTTACAAAAATCAGAATAAGCTGTCCGTTATTTTGAATTTGTTTCAAAATAACAGAATTGCTGTGTAAACACTTGGGCTGTGTCTACATTGGCACCCTTTTCCGGAAAAGGGATGCTAATGAGACACTTCGAAATAGCAAATTCCGCGGCGGATTTAAATATCCCCTGAGGTATTTGCATGAACATGGTTGCCGCTTTTTTCCGGCTCGGGGTTTTGCCGGAGAAAAGCGCCAGTCTAGACAGGATCTTGCAGAAAATAAGCCCTTTTCCGGAAGATCCCTTATTCCTACTAGAATAGGGATAGATTGAAAGTAGGAATAAGGGATCTTCCGGAAAAGGGCTTATTTTCCGCAAGGTCCCGTCTAGACTGGTGCTTTTCTCCGGCAAAACCCCGAGCCAGAAAAAAGTGGCAGCCATGTTCATGCAAATACCCCAGGGGATATTTAAATCCCCCGCGGAATTTGCAATTCCGAAGTGTCTCATTAGCATCCCTTTTCCAGAAAAGGGTGCCAATATAGACACAGCCTTGCATTGTTATTTCGGAATAATGTCCATCATTCCAAAATAACGCTGCTGTATAGATGCACCCTAGTGAGGAACTCTAAATAATTCCTACTGCTGTCTGATGTTAACATGGGATTTCTTGATGTGCCATTACCAATTACAGTGTATTGATAATTCTGAGAAGCATTGCCCTTCTCATCAACTCTCTAAGCAAAACCTGCTTTTCTGCTGTGGTGAAAGGAACCAACAAATTAACTTCTCATAGTGTGTATTTTACAGAAGGCTGATTTGCATCATTCTTATCTCCTTATCAAGGCTACTCATGACTTGCACCGCCATTTAATTATATTGTTCTTATTGTTTAAAAAAAAAGCACTAAAATAGAACTCTACATTTACTATGTCATTGTCATTAAGACCTTACAGCCTATGCTGGACAAAACAAACAGAAACAAGACACAGGGCAATGGCTCAGTAAAGGAAAAGCAGGTTAAAAACAGTTGGCTATATTCCTAGGAA